CGAACAGCACAACCAGAGAGCTGCTGAGATCGCAGGGGTGACGCAGGGTCTGCCGCAAGGAGCCGCAGCACCCAGAGAACTTTGAGAGGCTTGTGAGAGGTAAGAAACAAGAGCATTCGCAGGCTTTTCGACTGTCAGACAACCTTGTGACATTCTTCATTACACAGAGTGGGCTTTCAGAAGGCCAACGAGAGCGATTGGTATCTTCATTGACCCTTACAGTTTACCTATGAGACCGTCACAGCCCAGTTTTATGACCTTTTCATTGTTTCCAGCGCATCTCTTCAGGATCCAAATATCCGTCCGAGTGGCGGAGGCAGATCCAAGGTCTGAAGGCGAAGAGGGCTTTTGTCCATTTGACGACGAAGAAGCCTCTTGGCAGTTGGAAGACCATGATGCTTTTGTTCTCAAAAGATTTCCACATCAGACTCTTAAGTCTGGCAAGTGGCGAAAAGGAAAGAAAGGCCCTTTAGACCCAAATCAGGCGGCAAGGCCAACCATGGTCGAGGAGACCACCACCGATCAATCCTATTGGGGTGAGAAAGGGAAGCAACCTTGGTACAAAAAGGGAACAGGAAAACCCTTCAACAAATCCAAGGACAAAACCAACCATCCAGGCAAGGACGAAAAACCAAAACCTTTGCCCTGGATCACAATTTGTCATCATAAGTTTTACCACAACTGCAATGGATAATAGTCATATAAATAATAAGATAAATTATTTACAACTAATCTTATTATTTCATGCATAATAGAATATTGATGGGGCACAGCACTTGGAGTTTTCATTGCACTGGACAACGCAAGCGAGGTTCAAACTAATTCAAACTAATTATCTTCAATGCTTATTGATTGAAGAAATGAAAAACCTGTTCCATTATGTTATTCACCGCCACTCATAACATAATGATGTTCCATTCAAATAATAAATATAGTTTATTTTCTAAATATCTTTAATATTATTTTTATTATGCCTGATGTAAAACCAATTGATGAAATCAAATATGACTTTAAGCAAAGCAAGCACGAGGTCGTCCCTAAATTGCCGATGAGAGCGATGATTGTAGGCCCTTCTGGTTCTGGAAAATCGACACTACTTGTATCAATGATACTTGATATTTACAGAGGAGCATTTGAAAGAATTTTTTATCTGGTCCCCATCAGTAAATTTGGATAGCATTTGGTTGCCTGTTAAAAAATACATTAAAGAAGGTTTAAAAGTTGATAATGATAAAGAATCGTGTTGGTGGGATGAGTTCAATGTTGAAGATTTAGAAAGAGTTATAGAAACTCAAAATAAAATAATTGAATACCAGAAAAAACAAGGAATGAAGAAGTTATTTAATATTTTGATAGTTTTAGATGATGTATCTGATAATCCAGCAATAACAAGAAATAACAAATTGCTAAATTCTTTATTCTGTAGGGGACGTCATAGTGGAATATCAACGCTTGTCAGTCTTCAGAAATCATCAACAGTGCCGCCAATTATTAGAGTAAATATAAGTCATTTTTTTTATTATAAAGTTAGAAACTTTAAAGAGATAGAAATATTACAAGATGAATTATCAGCAATTGTTAGAAGCGATAATTTACACGAAAGCAAGAAATTAATTTATAAAATATATGAGACTGCAACTGATGAACCTCATAGCTTTTTGTATATTAACCTTTTAGAAAAGAACCCTGATAAAATGTTTATGAAAAAGTTTTCACAATATTTGAAAATAACTAATCAATAACAATATTTTTTTGTTTAATGTTATTAATTTAAATTAATGAAGCGTTGCAAAACTGTAAATTTGGTAATTTACATATTAGTTTGTCTGATTTTTCTTTTTCTAATTTTTCTATTCTTGATACACATTCTTGAATAGATTTAATGATTAAAGTATCTGCTCTTGTTTTTTCATCTACTCTTAAATTCTTAATGTCTTCCATACTGTTATTTTCATCGTCTTTACTTTGACCAATACCCATTAAATATTATTATTTTAGATTATAATATAATACAATAATAAAATATTCAAAGGTATACAATACAATAATAAATATTCAAAGGAATTAGAATAGGCCAACAAAAACCCCACATAATAGGAGTTAATAGAATACAACACTTACTTGTTCGTCTGTCGAATTCCTCTTCTCTTCTTTGTTTTTTTAATTCTTTAATATATTCACCAAATTTAGAATGACTAAAATTGCATTCTTTATTATTACATTTATCTAATGTAAACTCATCTTTATTTAACTTAGTAATTCTACAACCACAGTAACAAATTTTCTCTCTCATACTATCATTTTGAAATAATACTTTTATCTTAACTTTTCTGTCAATGTCCATATATATATATCTATATCTAATAATTATTTGTTTATTTACTTATTTATTGAAATATTTATATATTTATACTTGATTATTTAGATTTTTCTTTTTTAAATTCCTTAATTTCTTTTGCCATTTTTTCAACTTTATCTATTACTTCCAGTAAAGCTTTATGTAATACTATTGGTCCTTTTGTATATTCAATACCTAAATATTCACGACTGCTATGAACTACATTACTAATTTCTTTTGGAACTGCTTTTAATAAATCATCAGCAATATAACCTATATGGATTGCATCCTTATCGTCTCTATCTTTTCTTTTGAATTTTTTAGGTTTGAATTTCTTAATCATACTAATACAATTGCTTTTAAGTAAATCTACATCATATTTTAATCTTGCATCAGAGTTGTCTATTAAACTTCCATTTATGGTTACAGTTCCAGCAGTAATATCAATAGCATCACCTGAAGCATCTTGAATATCATTAACGAATAATGTTTTTGTATTAACAACCGTTACATTTTCAGTAAAAGTCGATGGAGCATTATTTGCAAAACTTCCAGAATTTACTGTAGTTCCAAATGTCTTATCAATAGATAATACAACCGAAGGCGTACTTGAAGCATCTGAAACTCTAAACGCAGTGCTTGATGTTCTGAATATTACATCAATTGTAGATAAATTAGTTCCATCATAATAAGTTGATATTTCGCTAGTACCAAGCTTTATATCTGTTCCTGTTGTCATTGAAATATTATTCAAAAATGAAACTGTTGTTAAATCAAATGATTGAATGGTATTAGTTGCTAAATATGCATTTTGAACTGCTAAGTTAGTATCAACGGTTACTAATGTCCCTCCGTTAGGCGCTATATGATTGCTTCTTAATGCTCCACCAGTTTGAATATAAACATCATCAGCAAATAAATTACCCATAAAATCAGCAGTAGCAGTATTAAAAGTCCATCCGGTAGTAATATTAACTGCTCCAACTATATTAGATTGAACAGCAGGGTCTCCACAAATGAACCTAACTGAAGAATTAGCATCACTATTCCTCATATCAAAAGATGAAAAAGCACTAACATATCTATATAATTCACAATTTGTATCAATTGTTAATTTACCATCGGTATCAATATTAACATTATCACAATTAACATCAGCATTCGTATAAATATTTCCTAACACATCTATAGGTTTACTAAAAATTGTTTTTCCTACAAGCCCATCTGCCATGAAGTATTGGTTAGAAGCATTAGTTATATCTCCTAAACTACACGCTACAAAATTAGGATGATGTATA